TAAACAGTGAAAGTATTAGATTTGGTGCTTATTGGAGGTTAAACCATTTTTATTTGTACTTTCATTTTGAGCCACTAGATGGCAAAGTTAAGAAAGTTAACTCACAGGGTCAGCTGTTATCTTGAACAGAATTAGGTGGTGCATTAAGAAAGTTAACTCACAGGGTCAGCTGTTATCTTGAACAGAATTAGGTGGTGCATTAAGAAAGTTAACTCACAGGGGTAACTCCTCTATATCTACCTAAATTAAATATTAATTTTCATTCTATAAAGATAGTTTAGACATCTAGTGGAGTTCCTGCAGATTTTTGTTAAAAATGAGACATTATACTGAGCCACACAGTCAGAATATAAAACTGTATACATTATTGACAAAGATAGTTATAAAGCCAGTACTCAAACTAGTAAAATAATGTTACATTATTTTTTCAAAAGTAAAATGACAAAATGTACAAATAGTTAGGAATAGTGGGACACATCACTGGTTATTATTTCAATGTTGACTAAAAAATCATGCAAACAAAAATGCTCACGTGATTGAGTATTAGCATGCAAGTGTCTAACTTAACGTATGTGCACTTATGTGCTATTTGTTTGTAGGAATAACGTTCAGTTACAGTTTCCCATATTCAAAAAATAATCACGAAACTGTATACATGAGCAGAAACAATAAGAAACGTTAAACATTCTACAATTTAAAGATGATCACAGACGACTAGATTTTCAGGAACAACGTGTCCTGAATTCAAGAGCTGTTCGTTATGGCTCACCAGTGCGTATAATTCTGACTAGGGAACTTGTATTATTGTTCTTAATAGCAGCTCGACAGGCATTTATCACTTGAGTCTTGGGTCTCCCAACTGGAAATAAGAAAGTTTAAAGATCAAATAAATATATACGAATATGGAAAAATATAAACATTTTTAAAGGAATTTCTCATTTAGGGTAAATCGCATGCATTCACTTTATTCTAGGTTTGGGAATAATACTTTAACACATATTAAAATACCTGAGAATAAAAACAAAATATATAATTATTGACTACCCTTAATTACTAAAGTCTCAAGAGAAAAGTGTTAAACAGTTACATAACAAAATGAAACTGACTTTATACACATAGAATTACAATACAATTAACAACTTGAGAAAAAAATGTACAATTTTGCTAAGTGAAAATAAACTGCATGGTAGTTCTGGAAAACTAAAACATCTAAATTAACTTGTCTTCTCAAAACTTTACATTTCTCACGGATGGTCTACAAAACTATTATAAGTAAATAAACATTATGGACTACCGCTGTTTAACCAGCTGTTTGTAAAACCACTCAAATTGAATGTTTGATAAGGATAGCATTCAATACATTTTATTTTAAACTGCTAATCAACTTCAGTCACTGTAGTCCTAGCTAATGTTTTTAGCAAGAGCAATTTACTGCCTTCTCCACTCCTGTCCCCCTTTCAATCTTTATAAACAAGTTACATCCTCTTCAATCTTTTAGAAACAAGTTACATTCTCCCCTTCAATCTTTTATAAACAAGTTACATCTCCCCTTCAATCTTTTATAAACAAGTTACATCCTCTTCAATCTTTATAAAAAAGTTACATCCCCCTTCAATCTTTTATAAACAAGTTACATCCTCACCTTCAATCTTTTATAAACAAGTTACATCCCCCTTCAATCTTTTATAAACAAGTTACATTTCATTTTCATTGCTTTTATTTTCTTAAGTTAGATTTTTTTTTGTTGGGTTAAAAATCATGTTAAAATATTCCAAAAATGTGCAGTATATTGCCATTATGGCCGATATTTCTAGCAAGATGAATATTGTTTATGAAATTGTTACCTGTAAGGAAAAAATACAGTTTTAAAATCAGTAGTGATCTTGCCAACAAAAGCTTCACAGTTTTATGTTCTACATAGACGAGGATACTAACCTCAAAGCCTGCCAGCTTTTTGTATGGTTTGGTTCACTTGCTTAAGACATGACAGTAACAGTTTTATGTTCTACATAGACGAGGATACTAACCTCGAAGCCTGCCAGCTTTCTGTATGGTTTGGTTCACTTGCTTAAGACATGACAGTAACAGTTTTATGTTCTACATAGACGAGGATACTAACCTCGAAGCCTGCCAGCTTTCTGTATGGTTTGGTTCACTTGCTTAAGACATGACAGGAGTTCTTCATGATTGTTTGATCGAATTTTATACCCGTTGATAAGATCACGATTAAAAGCATATAGTTCTTGATACCATTTTCTCATAGATTTGCTGGATTAAAAGAAACGTTTTCGATCAATAAAATTTGTAGAAAGCAACCTAAAAAATCACAGAGAAATACTTGAAAAGTATTTATTAATGTACACTTAAACTAAGTTTCAAAAGCACTAAAAATGTCATAAATCTTAATAATAAAAAGAAATAAATATAAATAGTTTTTTTATGAATTTAGAAAATTTTTATTTTTTAACAGATTTACATGATTTTAGTTTTTTAAGGAATTTCATGTTGACTCAAAAAAACACAAGCTAATCTAATTTATACATTTTTAAATGATTATTATTTAGCTGGTGAAAAATATTTATATAATGGTGGAAGAATAGTATATTAATCAAAATTGAAAACAGGGGAGGGGGATAACCTGTCAAGTGTAGTGAGTTAAAAGGGTGGGTAACATGTCAAGTGAAAATTTTTTATCTTGGCCATTTTCCAGGAAGTGGTCAGAACATCTTTATTAATGAGGTGTGTATCATCTTAGTGATTTGAGAATATCAGCCTGACAAGGTAACAAACTTTCAAGGAGAGTTCTGCCTAAGTAGGGATGGAAAATATGATACTGAATAGAAATGTAAATTACAGCTGTTACCTTGAACAGAATTAGGTGGTGCCACACGTTGACGACCAAAAACCAATAAAATGAGAAGTAACATATTCTTATGTAATTTTTTTTGTCCTCTAGAATTTTTACCAAATACAAAAACTGATTTATTTTTTTTAACCACAAGTAAGAAATAATATGAATGAAATGAAATTTAAATTCTCTATTCTCACAACACACAGTAAAAGTTTTATATTTCTACTGAAAGAAAAAACTCCAAGACTTGTCTCTTTGACATTTATTTGGACGGATTGAAATATACAAAAACAAAATCTAATCTTCAAAGTTTATCAATTATTTCTCAACAGGAGAACCATCTAAACCTCATTATTCAAATACGAAGAGTAATTGGTCTTTAAATTCATCTCTAACTGCTACAGTTGTAAGATCAAGTTTTATCTATAGGATATACTAATCATCAACAAGGTTTACTGTAGCATCAAGGTTTATCTAGAGGATATGCTAATTATCATCAACAATGTTTATTACACTTTCATTCAACATCACCCTGAGCACACAAACTAATGTTTATGATATCATATCTAGTTAGAGTTAACACTGACATAAATAATCATGGTACAAACCATATCTTACTTAAATTAAAAAGTACAACCATCAGAAATGTGCTTGAAAAGTTTCTATAAAATTGCCAAAAAAATCCTTCCTTTTTTTATTTTTTGAACCAGTGATGGATTAGTAAACATTACTGATCTGATGGGCAACAACATACTAAGCTAAGACTGCTAAAACAGAAAATGCATTACACTGAAAAAGTAACAAAAACAGCTGGTCAACAGAAAATTAACACTAAGGGATAGCAACAAAAAAGTAAAACACACGGTTGGTCAACAGAGTATTAACACCAAGGGGTGAGCTACCTGTGATGCATTAAGAAAGTTAACTCACAGGTACAGCAGTTACCTAGAACAGAATTAGGTGGTATATTAAGAAAGTTAACTCACAGGGTCAGCTGTTACCTTGAACAGAATTAGGTGGTGCATTAAGAAGGTTAACTCACAGGGTCAGCTGTTATCTTGAACAGAATTAGGTGGTGCATTAAGAACGTTAACTCACAGAGTCAGCTGATATCTTGAACAGAATTAGGTGGTGCATTAAGAAAGTTAACTCACAGGGTCAGGATCAGGTGCTATGAGGACCCCTTCCTCCAATAGTTACTTCTCATTTTATTGGTTTTTGGTCGTCAACGTGTGAGGATCAGGTGCTATGAGGACCCCTTCCTCCAATATGTTACTTCTCATTTTATTGGTTTTCGGTCGTTGACCTGCAAGGATCAGGTGCTATGAGGATCCCTTCCTCCAATATGTTACTTCTCATTTTATTGGTTTTTGGTCGTCGACGTGCGAGGATCAGGTGCTATGAGGACCCCTTCCTCCAATAAGTTACTTCTCATTTTATTGGTTTTTGGTCGTCGACGTGTGAGGATCAGGTGCTATGAGGACCCCTTCCTCCAATAAGTTACTTCTCATTTTATTGGTTTTTGGTCGTCGACGTGTGAGGATCAGGTGCTATGAGGA